GACTGCTTCTAACACATTTGGTTATTCTATTTAACCTGCATAAATATGGACAGACAAGGCAAGCCATGCGATATGAAGTATCAGACACATCGTCGGGGGTTAAGCAGCTCCCGTGGCGCGTGGTGACCAGTCTGCACATTGTGATAAGCGGTCAGCGCGCAGTGCCTACCTTTAAATCGCCAAACCTGCCTTCTGTGAACCTGCGGTTAACTTTCTGATATAAGACCGCGCATTCGCGTCGAGGGTCCTACTCCGGTTGAAATGATCAAGCAGATATCTGACCTCGTTCGTCTCTGGCACTCCGAAGGGCTTTGCAGATTGAGCCGCTACTCGCATGTAAACTTTCTTATAAGTCGGTTGGCCTACTTCGTCCGTTATAAACCGAGTTTTATCCCACTTTGTTTATTTGAACTATAGTGACGTAATGAGTTCACGACGTCACGACGCTATTGTTGTTTTGAAAGCAGTCCAATTTGAGGGACGAACTACCGAGACAAAATGCGAGCGAATCCCGATTTCCTATTATTTTTATATGGATTAGACGTAGATAAGATGTAGATCTGATGTAGATATAGGTTACATATAGATTTATATGAAATATTTATTTACTCTATAAGGTTTATTGTTTTAACGAATAACTACTATAGCTTTATCCATTGTTTGTTGCTGTTTTTATTTTTATTTTATTGTTTTTATTTTATTGTTTTTCTAATCGTTCTTTTGTTTTGTCTATCTCATTCTATTATTCTTTAAATACTTTCTATCCTTTAGGAAATCAAGTTAGGCCAACGGACGCTTTTGATTAATCATAATCGGGCAAGCACAATAAAATAATGGAGGGTAGATTATATGCAAGGTTAGGCAACAAATCAGCAGTAAGTAGGGGGAGAGATGTCAAGGGTCTGATTCAAGTCATAAACAGGGGACCAGATAGGGAGTAGGGGGGGGAATGACAGGTAGCCCTTATCGTCTCGTCGTTTATGTCTAGCGTTGTGTTTGAGACGTGAGGACGCAGGGTGTTATGCTCTCGCGGCGGCGTGTTCAAATTAGTTAGTCATATGACGACTGCCTCTACTCTACCTCCAGAAGACAAGCTCCACATCCGCCAACACGCTTCATGTCATGCCGGTAGACGGTGACGAGACAGCGACAACAAGCATCCCCAGGCCTTACACCGCCGCGAGAAAACGACACCCAAACAAATTTGTTCACTGAGAAAACAACAGATATACGCTTAACGAAAACCTCTTTATGTTTG